TAGGTCGTATAAAAAATGGTAAGCGCGCTTAAAAAGCCGCGCCCACCATGTTTCCGCGGCAAGTACAGCCTCATTACTGACGATCTCGGATGATGCATACTGTGGGACGTCATAACAGTGCGGACTTTTCTATGCAGAGCGTTAAGTTTGGTCTGAGTCCACCTGAGTATGCCAAAGGTATACATGAGAAGAGGCATGATCCAACCGTTATATGCGTGTGTCTTATTAACGCCCGACAAAAGGCTGTTAAGCACTTTTGTCAAGCGTGCATAAAACACGTCGCAAACTGACTGCTTCATGTCCGCCTCATCGATACCTATATTCTGTGACATACCCTTCTTTTCTTTTTGACAATGACATTTCTTCTGCATATCAATGATATGTTGCTAACTGGTAACATTAATTGCTATGCGGATGACAGCACTGGTGATGCTCTATACACCGGCCGTGCCAATATTTCTCGGGAAAACGTCGCCGAGTACCGGAACAAACTTGTGTCTGAAGTCGAGTCTTTGTTGAACAAAGTCTCGGATTGGGGGCGACTAAATCTAGTCCAGTTTAATCCTCAGAAGACACAAGTTTGCGCGTTTACCGCTAAAAAGAACCCCTTTGTCGTATCTCCTCAGTTTCAAGGCACTCCTCTTCTTGCCTCAGCCAGTATCGGAATCCTCGGAGTCGACATATCGAGTGACGTGCAGTTTCGTGGTCACTTAGAAGAGAAGGCCAAATTGGTTTCTAAAAAGCTTGGCGTGCTGAGCAGAGCGGGACAGTATTTCATGCCGGCACACCGCCTGCAACTTTACAAGGCGCAGGTTCGGCCTCACATGGAATACTGTTCCCATCTCTTGGCAGGGGCTCCCCAGTGTCAGCTCCTTCCACTTGACCGCATCCAGCACAGAGCGGCTCGAATCGTCGACGACCGAGTTCTTTCCGATCGGCTCGATTCATTGGCACTGCGAAGAGATGTTGCATCACTTTGCATTTTCTTTCGGATTTACCACGGGGAGTGCTCTGAGGAATTGTTCGGATTAATCCCAGCCAAATTTTACGAACGCACATCGCGGCAGAACTCCCGATACCATCCACACCATCTGGATGATTGGCGGTCCACCACTGTGCGATTTAGAAGATGTTTTCTTCCTCGCACAACTTCCTTGTGGAATCGATTACCATCAGCGATTTTTCCGGACCGATACGACTTAGGGACCTTCAAGAAAAGACCCTACTCCTATACCTTTTTAAAAGGCCGGCAACGCATCTGCAATTCCCCTGGTTCCCCTGGTGTTGCAGTTGTTCATGGGCGGTGGTAGTCACTTACCATCAGGTGAGCCACAAGCTCGTTTGTCCCCTCTCCTATAAAAAAAATACACAGGTATCGGTATGTTTCAGCCTCGGATAGCGTCTTTATGTTGATGGGCATAAACAAGTCTATGCCCTCAGAGTTAGCAACCCTCCCCTTTTGATATGGAGGACTGCAGACTTATCCGTTCCTAGCTCCATTCTAATAGAACTGTTAAAATCACAAGTGATGTTTAGCAATTCCATAAGATGGGAGCGACTGGAGGCGAATAACTTGAGATCATCCATATAGAAAAGGTGGGTCACTTTGGTACCTCCTTTCCGTAGCTGAAATTCTCTCCCGGAACCCTCCAGTAAGGCACTGAGAGGGTTCAGAGAGAGGCAGAACCAGATTGGACTCAAACAATCGCCCTGGAAGATCACTCTTCTTATCCTTATGTGGTTCTTCGCAGCCGTCATCCGCTCACCTAGATGACGAAGGATCGTAATCCACTACCCCCTACACTGCCTGAGGAAGTCTCGAACTGTACAGTCAACTTGTATAGCTCGAGAACCCACTTAAATCACGTATGAGGCACCGAGTCGAATGCCTTTTTGTAATCTATCCAGGCCGCAGAGATGTTCCGACGGTTGCGTTTAACCACCTTGCCAATGACCGCGTCAATGGGGAGTGGTTCCTTGGCTCCACGACAACCGCCCCGACATCCATTTTGAACGCGCGACATCACCTGATTTGAATTCATGTGACGAGTGATTTTCGATTTCAAAATGGATGTTAGTGTATTGTATATGGTAGGTAGACAATTTATGGGACGGTATTTGCTCGGGTCTGTGGAATCTCGATTTTTAGGAACCAAATGAATAATCCAAGTAGTGAAGAGGCTCGGAAGTGACTGCTGGTCGAAAGCCTATTGAATCTGTCGGGCGAGCACAGCGTGTCACACCACGAACCCCTTCAGCCAGTAGTGATGCAGTCCGTCGAGTCCCGGACTTTTCCAGTTCGGGGCCCTACGGACCCACCTCAACTACGTCATCCGACGTTATGAAGACGTGATTCATGGGCGTAACATTCGCACACTGACTCGCCACAACTTCTGTCCAAGGGTCGTCGCTGTGGTTTACAGGCTCTGACCAGTATGCGACAGTGTCGGCCTGATTAGGAGCTGGGCCCGTTCCACGTACCATCAGCCGCTCCAATGTTTCATAGAGTCTTTTCTGATAACTCTGGAAGAGACGATTCTGGTTGAACCATGTCGACCTCTCGGTATATCGCCGAATCCGCTTTCCCCCAAACAGCGATTCTCTGCTTCAGGTCATCTATGCGCTCTGCCAGTTTTTGCGTTATATCCGGCTGGTACAAACTGATATTTATCCCAGCAAACGCCATCCTGACGGTGCGCACAATTCTCGGCATATTATTGCCCGACCTGAAGCTTATCAGTCTGCCGATGTGGGCATTTGCCTTTGCGATACGGTCCTCAATCCTTCTTCTCCAGGCTGGCATAGCGCTTTTATGCCCAGTAACACGTCCAGACATGGGAAGTTTGTCACCAACTATGCGGCAAACTGCCAAAACGGCGCCAAATTGTATTGAGTCCAAAGTCAAATTGTATCGCAAAGGTCCCGGCTGGTTTTCAAAAAGGTTGCCAGCAATGGGTTCAGGGCCGTCACGACATCCTGATACCGCATGTTTAGGGTTATGCGCGAGAGTCGCGGTCGATTTTCAAGAGGCGTACAGCGCGTTTTCACAATCGCGTTCAATCCTCCAATTTACTCCTCACCTGCTCTAGTTCGTAGATGACCATCGTCTGAATCAACCAAAGCGGGAAGGTCTATGGCGGTTTCCACATGTGGCTGCTGGTTTATGGCCTTAGGAGCCGCATCCCCAGCTATAGCTGTTTCATTCGATGAGGGAATAATCTCACGTCAGTCGTTCGAGGTCGGCATCATCAAATATTTTCGAGCGTATGATGTACCGAACTGGGTCTACCAGGTTTTGCTCTGTGACAGGAACATACAGCTCCAGCTCAGCAAAAAAGCTATGCATCCGGGTCCGATACGCAATCCCTCAAGTGTCTTCCTCTTTAGCCCTGTAGTACGCCCGCAATGCATTTTTGTACGGCGCACTCCACCAGCGGCAGGTGCTGCTTGCCGAGTCCAAGAGCACCCTGCCGACACCAAGCCATCTGGTGGGGGATGATGGATACGAGGGGCTGCTAGGTGGTCGTGGAGCACCACGCGCTCGGCTGGCGGCCTGCATGCTGTCGCGTCCAGTGCCAGCTCCAGACGCACCCCGACGACCCCCAGGCAGCGGCCGTATGCGCGTTCTATTTTTGTCAATCATACATAAAATGGGCGTCAACAGGCCCGGTACCGTTTAATAGTGTGGATGTGAGCACAAACGGCCCTTTGCACCCTCAATTCTGCCGAGGCACGGCGCTACACCTATTGGCAAGGCGCTGACTGACTTCACCGACGTAGCAGTTTTGTCACTTAACTGTTACCTACGTCAGGAGGCGATATTATTGAAATAATTTGGAATATCGATTACAAATTGTTAATTTTAATACTCCACAAAATGGTAACAAAAATTGTTTATATCTTTTGCATAAAAACATGGTTTGGAAAATCCAAAAGTGCACGCCTCATGAGCATTTTATTTAAGTTTTAATGAAAAAAAAATTGATTACCAAAATAAATCGATTACACAAAGGTTAAAATTGATAAAGGCTGTAAGGTACATTTCTCCTTTGTCTATCGAGGGCTAAAAATATGACAGGGCTTTTAAAACTTTAATAGCAATAGAACTTATATAAGTTGAAAATCATTTTTAACAAACGACGCGTACTACAGGCTGTACTGTAATAAAATAATAATGTAATTTTAAATGGAGAAATTGAGTTTTGTCGATACCATTCTTATTGGACACTAGACGCGAAGCTTCTAGTTCTGGGCTAGAATATCCACCTACCATCGGCGGAGCTACCCAATTAGACTTTGACAATTGTTAATCCTAATAGAAAACTATAACTTTACTGTCACGTACCATCCAAGTTACTTATTGATTTTATAGAGATTTCTTATGTTTACGCGAACACTACATATTTAAATGAAACTAGTTTTTATTTAGTTTTAGTTAGAATTTTATCGTGTATAGTACTTATTTCATATACCAGTACTTTACAATACCTATGGTCACGGAGGGACAGGTACTCGACGTCACAATGTCAAGTCAAATTTAAAAAAAATCTAAAAATAATATGAAATTTCTATTTTATTGGGAATAAACCCATTAAAGAATAAAGCCGGCCACTCTATCCATTTTTAATTTAATATACTAATAAAAAAATTTGAGCTACAATAGAATTTTTTAAAATTTGGAATGGGAAATTTAAAAAAGTCTAGAGTATCTTTCGACAGCGCATATGGTTACAGTAAACGTCTTTATCGTCCGATAGTTAGTGTTCTTTAAACCAGACTTTAAAGACGGCTGTTTAGAGGTAAGTGGATAGGAAGATAATAATTGAAATACTCTATATTTATACATTTATAGTGATCGGCAAAATTCTGTCGCCGCAGATAAAGAGGATGCCCCTACATTCAACTTGTAGGGCACTAGGTTGTATGAGCATAGATCCCTTCGCGTGTAAATAATTAAAAACAATGAATTGTCAGTGTCACTTTGACGAAAGTTGAAATTCATCATCATTGTGCGAAGAAAATAAAATATACGAATTTTTATTCGAGCCTTCAAACCGTTCAAGCTGGCATCAAGAAGATTACTCCTAGTGCGCTTCCATAGCTTCTCGCCGACTGTGTCCTACCGAGCTAGTTTCAATAGGTTAGGATCATGTTATTATCAATACAAAGACTTATTTACCGATTATTTAATTAACTGTTTATAATTGCGTATCATAAATGGCAAAACTTAAAGTCCTGTTTCATTAATCAATTATGTTTCTGTCGAGTTCATTCTTTACTCTTTTTGAATTTGGATTGTAAATATTATGAACCATAAAATAACTGTTTTTTTTTGGCAAATACATTAGTACATGCAATAGTATTACAGTAAAACAGTGTCAGAAATAGGCATGGAGTTATGTGTGGTGTCTGCTTCTACTACTACATCCTATAAGTCCACAATTGAACATACTCCTCCCCCATAGATTGCCTCATAGGGAGGATTTTGCAATAGTTGTTACATGTGACAGGCAGGTTGGCAACTACAGTTCTTTATTATTTTGAGTTGATATCAGGACGATGCCGCTGCCTATCGCCTGTTACAGTTTCCCTCTGTCGCCTCTCACAACACCCACGGGACAATATGGGGTAGTGTTTTACATGGTAGAGCCATTTTGCAGCTATATTAGTAGTATAGTTGTAGCACAAATGGGTAGGCTCGACCGGGGAAGGAACACACTCACAGAATACCAGCGTAAAATAGCAGCATAACACTGCTGTGTTTTGTATGGTGAGTGTAGAGAACTGGAAACCCTTTTTTACTGGAAACGAGGCATTCCATCTTAGTCCTCACGGGTGACTTAGCAAGTGCATTTTGATTCATAATTAAGAATAGACGTAGATGTCTATGGGCCACAGTAACCACTTATCATCAGGTGTTCTATGTGCTCGCTTGTCACCCTTATTCTATAAAAAAGTGGATATTCTTACACTGCCACTACACTGTATGTAGTGCAAGTGTGGTGTATGTGGTAGCAAATTTTTAAAGAAATACTTGTCAGCTGTCTTTTGTCTATTCTTGAAAAGAATTGTCCATCTAGGTAATTCAACACTACAACCATTATTATTACAAGATAAAAGGGCAAAAAATAATTGGTTTAAAGAAAATGAGATACTTGTATTATCACAATATTCTTTTGTATGTGGGCATAGTATTTGTAACTAGTGAGCTTCTACTCAATAAACACTTTCTCTTTGATATTGGCAAATGAACAAAACCACCATAAAAAAGAAAGAAGAAGTGGCCAGTAAAAGACTTAAAAAGGCTTTTTGGCAGTAATCTTGACTAAACAAGCCTATTCACTATCAAACATAATATTTTAAGTCCAAGCAAAATGTTCTTATCCTTTGTTTTCAACCGCCTTCAAAAAAAGGAAGAGGTTCTCAATTCAACTGTATTTTTTTCTTATGTGTGTTACCTCAGAATTTTTTTCTAGGTGGACCTATTGTGATATTTTTTTTATTTGAAAGCTGGTGCTTCTCGTGTGGTCCATATAAATTTGATCAAGATATAATAACGTGCAATTATTTGACTTCAACTACATTAATGATGTTCTCATTTTATCTATATTGAAGTCGGTTGTACAACATTTTTAATTCTACCACTTGAGAATGTCATTGGCAAATTTTATGAAACCTAGAGGAAAAAAAAATCTACTACTTACTAACTACGTGGGCCCCTTTGCTATCTAGGAGTTGTCTGGGTAGAAGCACCTTCTTACTTATTTCTGCTACTAAATAGTAGTGCTTGCACTTCTGTGTTCTGGTCATCAGAGGTGACAGGTGCCCATGTACCACAGTAGATACTTACCATCATATGCCATTACTAATAATTTATACGTGGTAGTGGCACAAGTGGGTCAGCTCCACCGGGGAAGGACTATACTCTCACAGAATACCAGCGTAAAATAGCAACTTAACGCTGCTGTGTTTCGTATGATGAATGTAGAGAACCCTTTTTACAGGAAACGAGGCTTTCCTTCTTAGTCTTTTGATTCTTAATTGAGGATAGGTGTAGTTTCTACAGGCCACAACATGAATTGTGTGCATGCTTGCCACTAATATTCTATTAAAATAAATTGTGGACTTTATGTTCATAGATCACTTCAGTTCTATAAAAAAAGAAAGTCCATGCAATTTCTGATGTATTTTTTTATCATTTCAAAAATCATCTGAGATAACTAATTTTAAAGAGACTTTTGATATTGTCATCATTAACTCTGTAGTGGCAGTGTAAGAATATCCACTACCCCATATCGTCCAGTGCATGTCGTAAGAGGCGACAGAGGGAAACAAACCAGGAGATGGGCAGCAGCATCTTCCTAATAATAACTCTATATAATAAAAATCTGTGGTTGTCAACTCCCTTACCAAGCATGGCAACTATGGCAAATATCTCCCCCCCCCATGAGGCAATCTATGGGGGAGGCCTATGTTCAGCAGTGGAGTTTAATAGGCTGTAATGGATAAATGTATAGATGATAATCTACCAGGAGCACATGACCCACTGAGAGGTGAAATTATCAAATCAACAGTAACATTACAACTATGCCAAATATCCCCCGTATTAGGCAATCTATCGCATGGCAATCAAATCTAATTATCTACATTCAGCAGTATACTTTTATAGGCTGTAATGGATGGATGAAATGGAGTGGAAATTTCATCTAGACCCAGAATATTAAATAATTTTGCCATTTATTTATGATAGTTTTAATCCGCCAAGTCGAGCACAAAAGCGGCACCACCATCATCCATACCATACCATCCTTTTCTCAAAGCTGTTCTGGTCATTTTCGACCCCCTATAACTTTGTTGTGGATAAAACTAAAAGCCTGAATTTTCAGTAACAGTATATAAACATAAACAGTATAGTGGGACAGTATTTCATGCCGGCACACCGCCTGCAACTTTACAAGGCACAGGTTTGGCCTCACATGGAATACTGTTCCCATCTCTGGGCAGGGGCTCCCCAGTGCCAGCTCCTTCCACTTGACCGCATCCAGCGCAGAGCGGCTCGAATCGTCGATGACCGAGTTCTTTCCGATGGGCTTGATTCATTGGCACTGCGAAGAGATGTTGCATCCCTTTGCATTTTCTTTCGGATTTACCACGGGACTGCTCTGAGGAATTGTTCGGATTAATCCCAGCCAAATTTCACCAACGCACATCGCGGCAGAATTCCCGATACCATGCACACCATCTGGATGATTGGCGGTCCACCACTTTGCGATTTAGAAGATGTTTTCTTCCTCGCACAACTTCCTTGTGGAATCGATTACCATCAGCGATTTTTCCGGACCGATACGACTTAGGGACCTTCAAGAAAAGAGTCTACTCCTTTTTAAAAGGCCTGCAATGCATCTGCAATTCCCCTGGTTCCCCTGGTGTTGCAGTTGTTCATGGGCGGCGGTAGTCACTTACCATCAGCTGTGCCGCATGATCGTTTGGCCCTCTATTATAAAAAATAAATTATAACTAGTCAAGGTTTCAATAAATCAGGGAAAAACTAAAATATTTTGTAATTTCGGCCTAGTTTTCTAGATACACCAACTGCATTAATAACTTTGTAATCCTATATAAATATATAGGATTACAAAGTTACATTTGCAGTGAATGAATCAATTTACCTGTATACGTATAATATAATGGAATAATAGATGTAGATAGGTACCTAGATATAATTATGTTCAAAGGTAACTTGTAAAATGGTCAACGGTATGAAAAAGCAAGAATGGGACATGTCTTATGAAGTTGTACCAAAATCCCTCAAAGTATTAGGTAGACTAAATTGACCGAAAATCCGTAGTTGGTATTCAAGAAGTAGACGGTACTGGAAAGGAAAAAAAGTAGGACTATCTACAAAAAGAAATGAGATGCCATCAAAAACATAACTTGTAAAAAAAACCAAGTCTCACAACTCAGTTCTTCTATTGTAAAAAGTTGTGAGATCAATGTAATACCAAGTCGGTTAATTTATTCAGTCCCTACTTAAGGGTCCTTCTGTCTTAAGTTATTACGTAATTAGCTAACCTAACAACATCTTATAAGTGACCATATCAATATTAAAAATCTTTTATGTTTTAAATACATAGATTGACTTGGCAATCGCCCTAAACAATCTAATTTAATATAATATGAACTAATTGAGAGATAAATTGTTTTCATGATCATTAGATTGTTTAGTGCGATTGCCAAGTCAATCTATGTATTTAAAACATAAAATTTTTTTAATATTGATATGCTCACTATAAGAAGATAAAGAAAAAAATATATTCAAATTGGGAAGCTCTTCTTTTTTTTTGTCCACTAAAATATTCCCACTCAAAACATTTAGGGAATGTAGTTTTTAATGTAACTTTTTAGATGGAATTTGAGCTTTAACCCTTATAATGTGGTAGAGCCATGATGCAGCTGTATAGTTGTAGCATGAATGGGTCGGCTCGACCGGGGAATGACCACGCTCTCACAGAATACCAGCGTAAAATAGCAGCTTGACACTGCTGTGTTTCGTATGGTGAGTGTAGAGAACTGGCGACTTTTTATTGGAAAAGAGACATTCCATCTTTGTCCTCATGGGTGACAACGTATCTGCATTTTGATTCGTAATTGAGGATGGATGTAGATGTCTATGGGCCACACTAACCACTTACCATCAGATGGACTGTGTGCTCGCTTGCCATCCTTATCCTTAAAAAACACTATATATGTCTTAGCACTGACTTCACAAGCTTTTCTCTGGGAATTATTGTATTTTTTTTAGTTCTCTCAAGTTAGCTTTTACTTTTTATTGACGGCTTTGTGGTGCAGTGGTTCAGCTATGAGTTGCGACTTCAAGGGCAGCGGGTTCCAATCCTGCATGGAATAATTATTTGTATCAATTATTTGATCTTTGTCCTTGTGAAATTTTTGTATGTAAACTGCCCTCACGATACAGGAGAAAATTCTAAGGTAACATTAATTCGAAAAACAAATTTTTTGTTTAGCTTTTCATACCAACGGAGACAAAGATCTAGTATGGCTACTCATTATGCACCCCGAGAGACACCGCCGGTCGGCAGTGGCCCGGGCGCTCCGTCTCCTGGCCCTCGGGCTCCTATACACAGCGGTGTCGCATCGGAGTATGTGCTCAAGCGCTATGACAATATTGTGAAGTCGCAGGAGGACAAAAGGGAGTACAGGTATGTTCATCATTTCATTAAATATGCTCAAATTGGTTGTCAGAATACACTGATATTGTTTTCTTTAGAATAGAATAGCTTAGAATGGTTTTTTTAATCAATATTGATCATTACATAATACTGTTACGAGCTTGGGGTTCGAGACAATTAAAAACTGCCGATTGAATTACCAAAATTGACACTTTAATTACACAACACTAATTACAATCTAAAACCACACTAATAATAAAACTCAATCACTTTAGTTTGCAGTTATTTCGCTTCGAAGTATTCTCTTGTATCGCCAATTCAATACTGCCCTGGTCGTGGTCTATACCGGCCTTATATAGGGCCTCAGATAGTTTCCAGAACCTTCTACTGTAGCGGCATCTAGAATGTTCGAGTACATATCGGTCCCAAAATTTCTGGAAGGATCTCGACTCTCCTAGTTCTGCTACTCGACACTAGAGGGCGCTAGTGTAACTAGTGTTGCCATGTACAAGACATTAATAGTGGCGCGCAACAATACTTATTGAAAGTCATTTTTTCATTCACCACTGGTTCGGAAAATATCTCTGTCGTGGGAAGAACCAGCGAGAAACCCAGCGGGACTTTTTATAAACATATTTCACTTTACAATAATTTTGTTTCTACAATTTTTAGATGAATTCTAATAGAACCAGAGTGTTGGCGATCAGCTCGTTCCCAGGGGTTATTTTCATTCATGTATGCCTTGATATTATAATAACCCTTTTTATTCAACCTCGACATTGTTGGAGAAGTTATTAATGTTTTCCTTCACTCCTGAGCACATAATCAATAGGTACTTAAATTGTAATTAATAATTTCATTGATGTGTGTTACACGTGTTAATGCCATCCTGCATCTATATTGTAGTAGTAACACGAACGGGTCTGCAAACGACCTGGGTAGGACCACACTCTTGCAGAATACCAGTGTGAAATAGCAGGTTAAAGCTGCTGTGTTTCATATGGTGAGTGTAGAGAACCGGAGACCCTTCTTACAGGAACTGAGGCATTCCATATTAGTCCTCAAGGGTGACTACGCATCTGCATTTTGATTTTTAATAAATAAAGATGTCTGGACCACGGCACCCACTTACCATCAGGTTGACTGTGTGCTTGTTTGTCACCCTTATTCTATAAAAAATGTATTTTACCATGGTCATCAGGGGGATAAGTGTTTGTCGTCCCAATGTCAGTTAAACTGGAGTATCTTCAGCTTTTATGCAGAACCAGCTTACTGTATTTTGAAGTCTTGCAGTGGTATGCTTGGGTTTATTTTTAATTTTATTAACTACTGGATCCCAAGCAGTTGGTAGTACCCAGCTTGCTTTACTATTGGAAATTAGGATGTTTTTTAATTAAAATAGTTTCACATATTATCCTTGGTAGGAATCGAAGCAGTGAAGCAACCGAAACGTCGGAAATTAAAGATAAATAAAATTAAACACAGTAAAATCCATAACAATATTTTTATATAATTTGTAGTGTTCGCGTAAATATAAGAAATCACCAAAGATGTCAGCTTGGAATTTCTCTTTTTTTTTCTTTTGATTTTCTCTTTTTTTTTCGCTCTACATTCTGTCCCCCCTCTTTACATCTCCTAAGATTCGTTTGTGGCTCTGCCAAATTCGTTTTTGGGTTGCACATATACTATATATGATACCAGTTTCTCGACTCCACAGAGTCAGTAATTCATTCATGGGGCAATGTATACACTATTACAACAAAGTCCCAGAAAATATACAGGGTCTCTCTCTATATTACCAAGTTTAAATATTATATTAAACAAAAACTGTATAAAAAGGATTATTATAATTTTAATGAATACATCGTTGATAATAACCCCTGGGAATGACGTGGTCGCTTCCAAGCTGTTTCTAAAATAAATATTGTAAATAGTTTATACAACCTTTCATGTAAAATTTACTTTAAAAAAAATCCCACTGGGTTTCATGCTAGTTTTTCCCAGCACAGAGGTTTTTTTCTGACTCAGTGTTAAAGTAAAAAATGACTTTCAATAAGAATGACATACATATGATCTATATTGAATAAAAACTTAATGTATTCTATTCGATACTACAAAAGCTAAGTCAAATTGTTTTGACCCTCATTTCCCAAAGCTTTCTCAAATATAATGTTATAGCATAGTGGTCTATTAAGCCTTACGATGATATTTTCATTTTCATTTTAGAGGTCTGCAGCTGACGAATAATCTCAAAGTGCTACTCGTCAGTGATCCGAACACGGACAAGTCAGCGGCTGCGATGGATGTCAATGTTGGTGAGTACTCGGAGTAGAGATACCAGCGTAAAATACCTATATAGCGTTTACCGAATCTTTACAGGTAATGAGAGGCACTCCATCTTGACAAGTAATTTGGCGTTTTGATTAAAAACAGACTTTGCAAAACTGGTGGCTCGTGTGATTGACATTGTAAGAATATCCACTACCCCATTTCATCTCGTTAGTGTCTTATGAGGCGACAAATGCTGCCCATCACATATTTGGAAAACTAACCAGGAGATGGGCAGCAGTGTCTTCCAACAACAACCAACAAATAAAATGTATAATTAATATAATTTATAATAATTATCGACGGTGCTCTGTCTTTCTTTGGAGCAGTGATATTGAAATGTGTGGTGACTGGCAAAGTACACGTAATTGAGGGAGGGCGGGAGATGCTCTTCAAACTGGATGAGACTCATTATAGGTAGCCAATTTTTAACATCTTTAATCCTCTGTGGAGTTTAGTTTTAACAGTGGTAGAGCCACGCGGCAGCTTTTACTGTCGCACGGATGGGCCGGCTCGAACCGGGGTGGTACCACGACCTCACAGAAAACCAGCGTGAAGTAGCGGTTTACCTCTGCGTTTCGCTTGGTGAGTGCAGGTGGCAAGAGGCCCTTTTTACTGAAAATGAGGCATTCCATCTTAGTCCTCACGGGTGACAACGCATCTACATTTTGATTTGTAATAGAGGATAGATGTAGATGTCTATGGGCCGCAGCAACCACTTACCATCAGGTGGACTGTGTGCTCGTTTGTCACCCTTATCCTATAAAAAAAAGTTTGTTGTTCAGGTGGAATTCTTGTTATATGGCTGGTTGTACTGTGTAGTGGCGATGTAAGAATATCCACTACCCTTCGTCCCGTGGGTGTCGTAAGAGGTGACAGAGGGAAACTAATCAGTTAATGGGCAGCAGCGTCTTCCTGACAACACCTCAAAATAATAAAAAAAAAACTGCAGTTACTAACTCGACTGCCAAGCATGACAACTGTGGTAAAATTCCTCCCTATTAATTAATCAATGGGGAAATGGGCAGTGGCTGTAATGGATGGATGTATAGAAGATAATCTACCAGGAGCACATGACCCACTGAGAGGTGAAATTTTCAAATCAACAGTAGCATTAGAACCATGGCAAATATCTCCCCTACGAGGCAATCTATGGGGAAGGCCTATGTTCAGCAGTGGACTTTTATAAGCTGTAATTGATGTATGGATGGTGTTGGCGGGGATTGAACTACGTTTACTCGAGTAATTTGAAATTTTTTTTGCGAATGGTTACCTGAGCTAGTCCGGCAAATATAAAGGTCTGGATTACGATCAAGGCTTTCTTATTTCCAGGATATCTCAGCGATCCAGAAGAGCTGCCAGGGTTGGCGCACTTTTGTGAACACATGCTGTTTTTGGGCACGAAGAAGTATCCAGAGGTATGATTTGGGCTCAGATTATAATCACAACAAATAATAGTACGGCGTACAGAAGTTGCATTTCTTTGATGTTGACTCTTTGCCGACGTTTTAATAGCTTACATAATTATTATTAATTACAGTGATTACACACGCATGCTAAATTAAACTTTATCGGTGCGCGCGAGTGTCCGTATAGCTTTGCATCTTTTCTGCTTCCAATAGCCGCGTATCGATTATGCACTCCAAGAGATCGAACATAGGCGTGCGTTCCAGCCGCGTGAAATGGATACCGCCATGGAACGCGCGCCATATTGTTCGTTGGAACGCTCAAATGTAGAGCGGACTGTTCCATCTGGTGTCGGTTTTTTACCGCGTATCAAAGTAGTTAAGTATTGACGCGGGCACCGGTTGGAACGGTTGTTTTCATCAGCCGTGTGTTCGTTGCGTTCCGACCAAAGTTGGCGTAAATTGATAAAATTATCATATGGCAGCTGCTCGTACACGACCGACATCCATGTTGAACGGTCAAACACTGGAGCGGCTGCCGCTTCGTTGATACACTTGGAACATTTGGAGCGTGTTCAGCGGTTGACTGGTCGGCGCGGTCGTATATGGCGCGCGCGCCACTAGCGCGTAATCGATACGCGGCTTACGTGATGGACGATATTCCGTGATTAAAAAAAAGCAGTACCTACATATACATAGTACCATTTCATTATTTATTTAACTAGCTGTTCCCCGCGACTTCGCCCGCGTGGAGTTATTTTTCGCGGAACCCTAAAATAAAAGCAACCCAAGTTACTCCTTATAACATCAGCTATCTGCCAGTGTGTATATATATTGACATTAATATTTATACGATACTAACGTCACTCAATTGTTTTGCCTTCCCGGAACCCCTCCACTAACACTTAAACTTTATGGTATGGTATTAAAGTTCAAATTGATTTTTAAGTATTATTACGAATCTTTCGTATGGGAATATAGAAAAGTGTTGTTTTTAGACTTTTTCATGCAACTTTTTAAAATTTTCTCTCCGTAAAAACACTTCGTACTTCAAGGAATATTATAAAAAAGAAATAGCGAAATCGGTTCAGTTGCTCTCAAGATTTGCGCTTAGCAACACATTCAGCGATTCATTTTTATATTATAGATTTACAACTGTTTTACTCTAATATAACGTCATATATTTTTTATCGTTTCTAAAGTAACGGTTATTAACTTTTAGAATGGTAAAACTCTAAATGTGACGTATAATTTTAAGTCGATACTGGGAGAAAAAAAATTGACACGGAGAGATAAAATTAATATTCGTTAATAAATATTTTAGTGAAGTATTTTCTGGTTTTTTCATTACTAAATGGCCGGCAACAGGTACAATTTCCCTAGTGTTGAAGTCATCAGGTGAGCCGCATACTCGTTTACCCCCTCTTCTACTAAAGAAAAAATCTTCCCCAGGAGAATGAATACAACAAGTTCCTGTCGGAGCATGGAGGGTCATCAAACGCGTCCACATCTTCTGATCACACCACATACTACTTTGATGTGTTGCCTTCTCACCTTGGCAAGGCTCTAGATATGTAAGTAGCTTTTTTTCTCATCTCTTATACTATTATCTGAACACGATAAGAGGCTGTCAGTTTTTTTTTTATAGGATTAACGTAATAAATGAGAACACAGTACATCTGATGGCAAGTGGTTGCTCTAGTCCGTAGACATCTACATCTACCCTCAATAAAAAAAAAATAGCTTTTTTATTTTCTCGTTAATTCAACAAGAAGTTATATTCTAAGCGTTTTTGTTCGTTTACTATAAAAACTGGCTTATAATACATAAAAAATAAAATTAAAATGTCTTTGGTGTCAGAGGATATGAGGAGGGAGGTTTTGGCGGGAATTTGACCGCCGGTTTTATTTTCTACTAAGCCGGCGCTTATCTACAATCCCATCCGATGGTAAGTGGTGATGTAGCATGAGATGGTGAAGCGCACTGACTTAACAAAAACCTATTCACTCTTGCATTGAAGACACCCACACTGTAATCGGATGGAAAGACCGATGCTGGCAACTTATTCCACTCCTTTGCTGTACGCCTTTGTTAAATCGTTAAAATAATGGTGTAAAGTGCATTTTGATACGAAGGTGGTGCGATTTCGTGTATTATATATAATATGTGTGTAATATAATAATATTATTATTTATCCGCTTAGGAGCCTAAAGATTATCGTCATCAACTGTTTAGTTGTTGTCAATATCTCCCAACAACTTCGCAATGTAACGCATTAACATATTGTGAAGAATTTTGTGAACAAAATACAAATCTGACAAGGCTGTATGGTATAAGACCTTTGCCTGCCTTAATTGGCGACACGTAACAACACCTTGCGATTCAAGCCGAGGTTCGTACCTCCTTCTAAGGGGCCCTTGAATCGCATCGAGCCCCCCCCTCCCCCTCCCTAGCTCGAGGAGCCTCACTCCGACAGCAGGGGTCGGGGTGCCACGGTAGTGCAGTCGGAGAAGCGGCGCTTCGCGCCGCCTCGCCGCCGGCAGAATCATTGCACTCAATAGTTTGTAGGTCCTCACTTACGAGTCTAATTAGATGAAGCTGTCAAGGCCGCAGGGCCAACAGCATACACTCTCAGGAAAAAAAATAATGATTTTCTGTATTCCCAGCTTCTCTCAGTTCTTCATCTCGCCGCTCTTCACGGAGTCGGCCACGGGTAGGGAACTGAGCGCCGTCAACTCTGAGCACGAGAAGAACACCTCATCGGACACCTGGAGACTAGATCAGCTCAACAAGAGCACAGCATCTCCATCGCACCCTTACCATAAGTTTGGCACAGGTGCGTAACTTTGGTATAGTAAAATAGTTTTAATAATTTTAGAAATTAGTAAACATAGATACAGTAGAACGCCGATTATCCGAATTAATTGGGACCGGGATCGATTCGGATAATCGAAAATTCGAAAAACGAACTGTTACAAATAGAATAAACTTTATGAAGTTTAACAAACACGGTTCTACAATACGTAAGTAGTGCACTAGAGAGAGAGAGAGAGAGAGAGAGAGAGAGAGAGAGAGAAAGAGAGAGAAAGAGAGAGGGAGATAGAGAGCATCAGCGCTGCGGCAGATAATATACGAAATACTTACTTACAGTAGGTAGGTACTTGGTTTTAATTTTTTATATTACGCTTAGGACCGATTCGGATAATTGGCGATTCGGTTAATCGGCGTTCGGTTAATCGGCGTTAGGATAATCGGCGTTCTACTGTAATACATACATAAACAATCACACCTGTCACTCCGAAGGGAAGGCAGAGACTACGGACTTCCATTTGGCGCGATCCTGACACACCTCTCTCGCCTCCGTTATATCCATATATCTACGCATACACGCTCGTCGGTTAAGGGTACTCCTAATTTGGCCCATTTTAAATATATTACGTGTTAGAGCCATGCTGCAGCTATATTATGGCTGTAGCATGAATGGGTCGGCTCGACCGGGGAAGGACCACGCTTTCACAGAATACCAGCGTAAAATGGCAGCTTGACACTGCTGTGTTTCGTATAGTGAGTGTAGAGAACCGGAGACCCTTTTTACTGGTAAACGATGTATTCCATCTTAATCCTCAGCGGTGATAACGCATCTGCATTTTGATTCTTAATCGAAGATAGATGTAGATGTCTATGGGCTGCAGCAACCACTTACCATCAGGTGGACTGTGTGCTCGTTTGTCACCATTATCCTATAAAAAAAAAATATCGCCAATTTGGTCTTCTTTCGTCGAGGGTGTCCTTTCCAACTCTGTCGGTCACCTCTGCAACATAGATTTGCTTTGTCACTATTTCCTCGTTCATTCTTCTACATGACTAAACCACCGAAGCATTCCTTTCTTAATCCTGACCGCAACATCAATATCAGATTAGTAAAACGACAACAAAATGTATTATATACCCAATGCTAACTTGAAAATGTCTTTTAAAGATGTAATACAAATTTTAAAATATTATTTTCTTGGTACTTTACGGGCCCATGACCACCGGTTATGACTGATTAACAACCCCATTTGCCTCTGAATTCGCTTCCCTCCTTATCGGAGGCTCCGGCGCCCACGGGGGGAACTGTATCGCCCTTGTTGGGAATCTAAGAAGTATAAGGACACTCCTTACATTATAAAGTCAATGATGTAGATTGGGACGGAATGCGGTCTTTCTTTGCATACTACCCATGGGGGCGGGTTTGCTTCTCGCCGGATGATCCCAGCGCTGTTGAAGACTCTGTCACTGATGTGGTGCTACAAGGAATGGAACTATTTATTCCATCATCTGTGGTACCCATCGGAGGCAGATCTCTGCCTTGGTTTGGTCGCCCCTGTAAGACTGCATTACGCAGTAAGCAGGAGTGTTATCAAGCCTGGGCTGCGGTTTCGTCGACTCGGGATGTAAACACCAGCATGCTTAAAAAGAAGTATAACTTCGCCTCCAGGTCCTTCAAAAAGAGTTATTGCAAAGGCAAAGTCACAGCACATAGGCAGAATTGGTGAGAAACTAGTTCGCTTTCCTTCGGGAACCCGTGCATTCTGGTCTCTCGCCAAGGCTGCCATCACTACCATCTCTGCACAGGGAGGACGACTCACTGGCCCATGCCGCAAAGGAGAAAGCCGATCTTTTATGCTCTCTCTTTGCGTCCAACTCGACTCAAGATGACGGGGGGAATACACTGCCGACCATCTCGCGGTGTGAGTGCTCCATGCCAGATGTGCGATTTACACAGCGCTCGGTTCATAAAGCACTCTTCTCCCTGGACGTCAGCAAGTCGATTGGGCCTGATGGAGTCCCTCCCATTGTGCTGAAGTAGTGTGCTCCGAAGTTGGAACCGGTTTTAGCGCGGATTTTCCGGTACTCCAACTCCCAAGGCGTAGTCCCGAATTTTTGGAAGACAGCTTTGTTCCATCCGATCCCTAAAAAAGGCGACCGCTCAGACCTGTCCAACTACAGGCCTATCGCCATAACCTCCATGTTCTCCAAAATAATGGAATCCATTATAAACTGCCAGCTCATGATGTACCTTGAGGATCACCAGCTGATTAGTGACTGCCAGTACGGTTTTCGTCGAGGTCCGATCAGCTGGTGATCTTCTGGTCTACCTGGCTCATAGATGGGCGGAGGCAGTAGAGTCCAAGGGGGAGGCATTGGCCGTTAGTTTGAACATAGCGAAGGCCTTTGATCGGGTCTGGCACAAAGCGCTTCTTTCGAAGCTTCCTTCCTATGGGCTTCCCGAGAAATTGTGTAAATGGATCACCAGTTTCCTTGCTGATCGGAGCATCAATGTCGTAGTAGACGGTGCATGCTCTGATTTCAAGCCTATCAACGCTGGTGTTCCACAAGGCTGCGTGCTATCACCAACGCTGTTTCTCCTGCATATCAATGATATGTTGCTAACTGGTAGCATTCATTGCTATGCAGACGACAGCACTGGTGATGCCTTATATACCGGCCGTGCCAATATTTCTCGGGAAAATGTCGCTGAGTACCGGGACAAACTTTGTCTGAAGTCGAGTCTTTGCTTAACAAAGTCTCGGATTGGGGCCGACTAAATCTAGTCCAGTTCAATCCCCAGAAGACACAAGTTTGCGCGTTTACCGCTAAAAAGAACCTCTTTGTCGTATCTCCTCAGTTTCAAGGCACTCCCCTTCTCGCCTCAGCCAGTATCGGAATCCTCGGAATCGACATATCGAGTGACGTGCAGTTTCGTGGTCACTTGGAAGAGAAGGCCAAATTGGCCTCTAAAAAGCTTGGCGTCCTCAGCAGAGCGGGACAGTATTTCATGCCGGCACACCGCCTGCAACTTTACAAGGCGCAGGTTCGGCCTCACATGGAATACTGTTCCTATCTCTGGGCAGGGGCTCCCCAGTGCCAGCTCCTTCTACTTGACCGCATCTAGTGCAGAGCGGTTCGAATCGTTGACGACTGAGTTCTTTCCGATCGGCTTGAATCACTGGCACTGCGTAGAGATGTTGTATCTCTTTGCATATTTTATCGCATCTATCACGGGGAGTGCTCTGAGGAATTGTTCGGACTAATTCCAGCCGCTCAATTTCAACATCGCACATCGCGACATCACTCGCAATACCATCCCTACCATCTGGATGATTGGCGGTCCACCACTGTGCGATTTAGGAGAAGTTATCTGCCTCGCACAACTTCCTTGTGGAATCGATTACCACCAGCGATTTTTAAGGACCGATACGACTTACGGACCTTCAAGAAAAGAGCCTACTCCTTTCTAAAATGCCGGCAACGCATCTGCAATTCCCCTGGTTCCCCTGGTGTTGCAGTTGTTCATGGGCGGCGGTAGTCACTTATCGTCAGGTGAACCGCATTCTCGTTTACCCTCTCCTAAATGAGGTAAAGTTTTTTGTTACACATTGTCATTTTATTGAAAAGTTGGTTTTAAATAAAAGTTTATCAGTTTCTAGAGTATTATATTAATACACAAAACAATGCCTCAGTGGTTTGCTCTATAATTTATTGCACATTTTTAACTTTTTTTTATACATTTCTACTTTTATGAATATCTGTGCGGTGGTTTATTTATTTTTAATCTCAATAATATAAAATATAGCTAATGGTACAGAAAGAAACATTAACCTTAACATTTATCGAAAAAATTAACTTCCCCGTTATGAAATCTGTCAAATATTTTACTTCACTGTAAAGTGGCGCCGCCCTGGTGGCAGAAAAATTCGTGGATGCCCTCATTACTAGATCATTCTTCTAAACAATTCTTCACCTGTCCAGGTAACAGGGAAACGCTGGAGACGATACCGAAGCAAAAGGGCATCGACGTCCGGAAGGAACTGCTGAAGTTCCACGAGGAGTGGTATTCGGCCAACATCATGACCTTGGTGGTCATCGGCAAAGGTATACTTTAGCTTAGTCCACATTTGACCATTAACTTGCCTGTAATAGAATTAAAAATAAAAACAAATTATATTTGGAAAATCGAAAAGTGCACGCCTCCACGCCATGATTAATTGTCTAAAATAGAAACCTATTGAAGCAAATCCATATTATTCTTTCCTATCGCGGCGCTGTTTGAGGCAAAACGACACAAGAGTATGTACAGGAAAGAGAAAGGAATACACGGATGAGTATGTGACAAGAAAGAGATAGAAATAGTGACGATAATTTTTACAAGAAGAAAAAATCAGAATCTAATCGACTTTCATTAATAACTTTTTTTTCATAGAATTAGGGTGACAAACGAGCACACAGTCCACCTGATGGTAAGTGGTTACTGTGACCCATAGACATCTACATCTATCCTCGATTATGAATCAAAATGCAGATGTGTTGTCACCCGTGAGGACTAAGATGGAATGCCTCTTTTCCAGTAAAAAGGATCTCTGGTTCTCTACACTCACCATACGAAACACAGCAGTGTTGAGCTGCTATTTCACGCTGGTATTCTGTGAGAGCGTGGTCCTTCGAGCTGACCAATTCGTGCTACAACCATAATATAGCTACAGCGTGGCAGATGTCTATGGGCCGCAGCAACCACTTACCATCAGGGGGAGTGTGTGCACGAATAGGTCGGCGCGAAGGACCACGCTCTTACAGACTACCAACGTTAAATAGTAGCTAGAGACTGCTGTGTTTCGTATGTTGAGTGTAGAGAATCGGATACCCTTTTTATTGGAAACGAGGCATTTCCCTTGCTCATCTTCAACTTTTATAGTTACATTTAAAACCTTAGCTCATCGGCACGTGCTACTACAGAAACGGTGTTTCACCTCATTTGTCATTATTGGTGTCCGCAACCTTCACTTGTAGAATCCCTGGACGAGCTGGAGGGTGTGGTGGTGCCCCTGTTCGCCGAGGTCCAGGATCGTGAGGTCACTGCACCATCTTGGCCGCAGCATCCGTTCCCGCCGACTTTGCGTCGCAAGCGAGCTTACTGCCTGCCCGTCAAGGATCTGAGGTCGCTCTCCATCGACTTTCCGATCCCGGACACACGCAAATACTACAAGAGTGGGGTGAGTGTTAAGATGAAAACATGTCATCAGAAGCGATAGGTGCTGTATCTGACCTCACCACGTCCGAACTGCACATCTACTCTATATCTAATATATGAAATTCTCGTGTCACGGTGTTTGTTACCAAACTCCTCCGAAACGGCTGAACCGATTTGTATGAAATTTTGTATGCATATCGGGTAGGTCTGAGAATCTGCCAACTATCTATTTTTCAAACCCCTAAATGATAAGGTTGATACAACCCTAAATATTTTTTTTAATTTTTATTTTATTATGATTTAGCATTGAAAAATACATAATAATTCAAATTTCCACCCTTCTACGATCAACCCCTGTTTTTTTCAATAATGTTTAGGGCATAACAACGTTTTCCTGGTCAGGTAGTCTAATATATAAAAAAATTACATTAGTTTGTTCGTATTTTATTCGCTGCCATACAGTTCATCAGATCGCGCTAAAACTTTGTCAACTTATTGCTTGCACTTTAGTGAAAGTTATAGGCATAGTGTAATTAACTTACAATGGGTAGCTCGCGTAACGGACCTAGTTTATTTGAATAATACTTATATAACTTTAATTAATGTATTATTATTTCTAATTAAAATATATAACCCTTCCAAAATTATAATGATATTTCCACAATTATTTCTTCTGCGGCAGCAACGCGTCTGGTACCAGCTAGTCTATGAATAAAATTGAAGTGTATCGAAATAACTGCCTTATGTTGAACAAAGGGGGACAAATGCATGCCATAAAAACAGAAATGAGTTGGTAAGACATGCAGGAAGTAGATGGATGCAGATGGTCCAGGACCATGCTTTGTGGCATTCCTTGCGCCAGGCCTATGTTCAAGATACAGTGGGGCCCCCATATATCCAAATTAGCAAGCAGACTAAGTTCTGCAGCCTATGCTGTAAAAAAGATTAGAGGTCTCACTAGTGTCGAGACAGCTAGATTAGTTTATTTTAGTTATTTTCATAGCATAATGTCTTATGGGATTTTGCTATGGGGAAATGCGGCTGATTCAGAAACTATTTTTGTTTTACAGAAGAGGGCCATTAGAGCTATTTACAATCTAAAACCGAGAGAGTCCCTTAGAGATAAATTTAAAGAAATTAATATATTAACTTTGGCCTCTCAGTATATTTACGAAAATTTAATGTATGTTCACAAAAACAAAGATAGTTTTAGTAAAAGAAGTGATATACATTCTGTAAACACTAGGAACAAACACAAGCTAGTGATACCAGTTTCTCGACTCCACAGAGTCAGTAATTCATTCTTGGGGCAATGTATACGCTATTACAACAAGGTCCCGGAAAGTGTACAGGTTCTCTCTATTACCAAGTTTAAATGTTTTATTAAGCTGAAACTGTATAAAAAGGGTTATTATAGTATAAATGAATACATGGTTGATAATAACCCCTGGGAATGAGGTGATCGCTTCCAAGCAGTTTCTAAAATAAATTTTGTAAATAGTTCGTAATCATTTATATTGTAAAATTTATTTAAAAAAAAAGTCCCGCTGGGTTTCTTGCTGGTTCTTCCCAGGACAGAGGGTTTTTTCGAACCAGTGGTAAAGTAAAAAACGACTTTCAATAAGAATTACACATGTAATGTATATTGAATAAAAAATATTCTATTCTATATTCTATTCTATTCTATTCTATTATCGCACGGTATGAATTTGTCGGATGGAGACGAGAAAAAGTGTAAGAGTTTTTCTTCACGTTCACCTTTCTATATTGCGAGTGAGATGGAATAATATCCATCTCCCTCGCACTTTTATATTGCCATGAATGAAATATTATTTTAAATGACGCTTCATTTTAATAGACGCTAGTAATTCATTTATTAGTATTTGATAATCTATAATATAATACGTTTACCAATAATAATATACTACGAAAGGAACTTCGCTCCAACCGAGTGTGACAGAACCGATTGTAATGACTCTTCACGAACATACAACGTGCAGCAACAATGGTGACTTTAATTAAACACATATATACGTTTTCCCATTTTCATTTCACGAATAAATTATATTTCCATTAAACGTTATTATTTACGGATTTATTTAAAATTTTAGATTAGAAAATAGCATCACAGGGCAACCTGTACTTGAGAACTGTCGTATTGTTTTTAACTTCCTTGTGCGTAGCATTGAAAGGAAGTTAATGGTTTTAGCTGGAAGTGTATGCCGACACGATAACTTCCGTTCCACTGGACCGATTGACTTTAAATTTGGTATGTGGATACATTGAGGTAGTAGCTCGGTCGAGTTTGAATTTGGGTCCTGTAGGTCAAAGAGCACCAGAGATATGGGATTCACGCAGAAGGAAGTTGTTTTTCTTGAATTTACATTCAACTCGTTTATTTATTAATTTTTGAGTAATTAGAATAGTAATTAGATTATTGTACAGACAAAGACACTTTGTTTTGTTTTGGTTTTGTAATCTAGTAGGTACGTTTACATATCTTGCGATATGAACGTTTTTATTTGTGTTATTAGTGCTTGTGTAAACTTGTGACCGTAATGGCAAATACGACAAGGGCAATCTTAATTTTAGTTACTTTTTTATTATTAAGTTTGTTTCAAAAAAAAAAAAACTTTTACGATTTACTTTAACCTATCAAAATTATTTACGATTAATGGGCACTAGCTCTGCCTGTGTGTTAAATTAATGACACCATTGTAGCAGCCACGTTGTATAGAGAACTACGCCAGGGAGTGATGTAGAGCCAGGGTTGGCTGATTTAAATCACGATTTAAATCGCTTGATTTTGATTAAAAAAAATTAAATAAAGTTTAAAATAAGATAAAATCGTTTATTGTTTTATGTTATTCTTATTATTGTACTACAATAGTCTCATAAACTTTGGAAAATCAACAAAGACTGTAGCGATGAGGTCCGTCAGTCTCATAAACTTAATAAAATGAACCAAAAAAATTTTTTTTTAGAAATTCACACTTGATATGATCTGTAAATTAATACAGTATTAATAAGTCATTAATTAGTTATTATTATTTTACTCTTAATCAGTCTCATACATTGTATTCATAAACTTTTAATCTTAAATGTCAAAAAGTGTTACCAACTCGTGAATTTCAAAATATACAAAAGAAAATCAATATAATCAAAAAAATCATGATTTTTTTAAAAATCTGTATGATTTGATGAAAATTAAAAAAACATGATTTTTTTTAAAAAATCAGTATGATTTGATTAAAATTTAAAAAATCATGATTTTTTCCATCGCTGATGTTATATGTTGTTCGAAAAACTTGCTTTTTTTTAATTGATAAAATAATTGGTCTTTGGTTATCTTAAATCTACATTAGGCCTCATTGATAAATTATATCCAGGCGAAGCCGGGGCGAATCACTAGTTAGAAATAACAGGACAGAATTGAGAGGAGATCTTCTCTCATTTATTAATTTTGGATGTTGGCCCATCCACGGGACTCATGTAACGTTACCGTTACAACCTATTAAAGTCCATTGCGGAACATAGGCCTCCTCCATAGATTACTGCGCTAGTCGCGAGGAACAGTTAGTAGAAGAATAAATTTGTTGGGTTGTTTAGCCGGGGCACTATGTATCGCACCTGCTGGGTCATGAAGGCGCCGGGAGCTTGCTGGCAGAGCTCAAACGACGTGGCTGGTGCAACAGGTGATCATAAATTCACATCATACTGAACAACTACTTTTGACTTATAAGAGTCACGCTGAGTTGTATTATCGCTCCTGTACAAATGATCCTGCTCGAAGGACCATACTCTCATAGAATACCATTGTAAATAGCAGCACTTTGATGAGAAATGGAGACGTTCTTACGTGGAAAACTACGCTGCAGCTATATTACGGTTGTAGCACGAATAGGTCGGCTCGACCGAGGAAGGACCACGCTCTTGCAGAATACCAGCGTAAAATAGCAGCTTCATGCTGCTGTATGTCGTATGCTGAGTGACGAGAAACGGAGTTCTTTTCACCTTACGGTAAACGGATGCTGTGGCCCGTACACACCTACATCTATTAACAACTAAAAAAAGTTAAATTTACAGATTGTTATATGTCCCACTGCTGGGCAAAGGCCTGTTCTCATTTCTGAGAGGGTTTTAGGGCAAGGAAGTGTCCGCCGCGCTGCCCCAATGCGTGTTGGCGAACTTCACATGTGTTCGAAATATTTTTTTTCTTATGTATCAGACATGCAGGTTTCCTCACGATGTTTTCCCTCACCGCCGAGCACGTGGTAAATTACCACTTAAAATTGCCGTGAACAATTTCATTGGTGCCGGCGGGGATCGAATTCGGGTTGCTCGCGTACTGTGAAATCAACAGCGAACGCCAACCATCTGAGCTACCACGGCTCAATTAAGAGTCAATATTTCGTGAGAGTAATTTTAAGTCCAGAATTAAAGCCAATAATGTGTATTAGCTGTGATTATGTACTTAAAAACAACAACAAACAACACAAACACGCCTGTCACTCAGAGGGATAAGCAGAGACTACGAACTTCCATTTGGCGCGATCCTGACACACCTCTCTCGCCTCCTTTACATCCATATATCTACGCATACACGCTCGTCGGTTAAGGGTACTCCTAATCTGGCGCATTTTTAATGTATCGCCGATTTGGTCGATAAACCTTCTTCTATTATCTATTATTATCTATTCTCTATGTACTTACTTTTTATTATTACTTTTATCTGTACAATAATTGTCTAAGTTGTAATTATTGTCTAATAAAAGGCCGGGGAAAAAGTTGATTCCTATTTTATATACAAATTGAAGACATTTCTTTTCAGTTTAATTAGATTTAATTATAATATATATGTCCCATTTTGTTCGACAACTTGTTGCCATCTTGTTGGTAGAGACGTAAGCCCGTTGTTGTAGAAATCTTGGGATATTTCATCAAAAAAATGCGACAAGTATTTTTGACAGGTCTCTCTTGATGCTAACCTAACACTACCCAAAGATTTATGAAGAGACCGAAACAGGTAAAAATCTGAGGGTACAATGTCAGGACCATGTGGTGGATACATTAGCGATTCCCGACCAAGCTCTATTATTTTTTGCTAAGTAGCCAAAGATGTGTGTGGTCTGGCGTTATCATCATGAAAGACCACTAATTTTCTGATGATAGATTCCGGTCGTTTAATCTCAGTTTTTTTTTTGCTTGAATCTCATTAGTTGTTGCATGTCCGTCTTAGTTGATCCACTTTTCATCAGCAGTGATCAATCTTTTCAAAAATGGTTTGGTTTCATTGCGTTTCAATAGAGAATCGCAAATGAGTACACGATTCATAAGATTTCTTTCAGTGAGCTCGTGTGGTACCCGAATATCGAGATTTTTGTACGGCCAGATATTTCAAAGGAATGAAAACTGTTTTGTGGTCAATCCTCAATTCCTCTGCTATGTCGTAAATACTAATATGTCCATCTTGCTCCACTTTTTTGGGTTCCGTACCTCAAAAGGAAAAAACGGAACCCTTATAGGATCACTTTGTTGTCCGTCTGTCTGTCTGTCAAGACTCTTTTTCTCAGGAACGCGTGGAGGTATCAAGCTGAAATTCATATGAAATACTCAAGTCTACTGTCCCTTGGAGCTGTGAAAAAATCAAACTTCTAAGCCAACGCACTCAAAAGATACAGCCGTTTATGGCACAGATTTTCGACATCCGCAAGGGAATCAAAACTTACAGGGTACTTCCCGTGAACTCAGAATCTTGAAATTTGGTACGAAGCAACTTATTTATAGCACAGATAAAGGAAACATTGAGAAAAGCATAAATTTTTAGTTACATCATATAATAAAAATATTTTTAATAATTTTAAACTTGTATACCTACGGATTTGTGCGGAATCCTCGGTGCGCGAGTTCGACTCGCACTTGGCCGGTTTTTTTTTTCAAAAATGGCATCAATGACCAGAGCGAGCTGCATATTTGACATCAAAATTCCCGGACTGAAAACGCATAAACCAACTGTGCTACTCTTGTTGACACATGGTCCCCCCGTGACCATGGGTGCTGTAAAGTGCTCCAAACGTCGAGAATATAAAATAGGTTAATATACGCTATAAAATCCGTAAAACTAGTTTTATTTAAATTTAATATATATATGTATATAATTTAAATTCTGTGTTTATTCATCAATGACAATGTTTTAGTGATAACAATTTTGGTTTTTCGTATTTTATATTCGATGTTCACTTATTCATTGGCACTATATTATTATTTATGTATTTCTTAAATAAATAAAAAATGCAGAAACAAAATTATTCTTGAGGAAGAAGATGCTTCGTTACTCTTAATAATTTATAATTTAAAATTACAAATTTTGTACAGCCGACTTCAATATAAGTTATTAAGAATTACTCAATAACTATTGGTCTGACCTTGATCAAATTCATATGGGACCACACGAGAAGTGTCAGCTTTCATATAAAAAAAGAATCATCGAAATCGGTTCACCCAGTACAAAGTTATGAGGTAACACACATAAAAAAAAAACATACACTCGAATTGAGTACCGTCTCCTTTTTGGAAGTCGGGAGAAAATTAAAAATGTTGTACAGCCGACTTTAATATAAGTTATTAAGAATTACTCAATAACTTTTGGTCTGACCCTGATCAAATACATATGGGACCACACGAGAACTATCAGCTTTCATATAAAAAAAGAATCATCGAAATCGGTTCACCCAGTACAAAGTTATGAGGTAACACACATACAAAAAAACATACAGTCGAATTGAGTACCGTCTCCTTTTTGGAAGTCGGCAGAAACGTGTTTGCGTTACTTGTCACTGCATACGAAACAATGCGACTTTATGCTGCAATTTTGCGGTCTTGGTCCTTCGAGCTAGATCATTCGCGCTATAGTGTGGTTCTACCACGTCTTCAGCAGTGATCTTAAATAGGTAAAAAGAAAGAATATACAAGAATTAATAGAGATCGTTTTCTTCCAAACAGCCTAGTGGGCGGGACCAGGATAGGCGCCCGTGGATTTGGCTTCTTCGGTGTGCAGGTGGATCTGACCGAGGATGGATTGGAGCACGTGGATGATATAGTTAATTTGGTCTTTCAGGTATCTTCATTAATTTATACATTGCAGCATTCGAAATTGCTTCTTGTCATCAATTTAGATGGATACCGCCATCTTTTCGTCATCCGCCATCGTTTTTAACAGTGGTAGAGCCACGCGGCAGCTTTTGCTGTTGCACGGATGGGCCGGCTCGAACCGGGGTGGTACCACGACCTCACAGAATACCAGCGTGAAGCATAGGTTTACCTCTGCGTTTCGCTTGGTGAGTGCAGGTGGCCGGAGGCCCTTTTTACTGGAAATGAGGCATTCCATCTTAGTCCTCACGGGTGACAACGCATCTACATTTTGATTTGTAACAGAGGATAGATGTAGATGTCTATGGGCCGCAGCAACCACTTACCATCAGGTGGACTGTGTGCTCGTTTGTCACCCTTATCCTATAAAAAAAAATCTATAAAATATTAATTTTTATTCAATATAGATCACACGTATGTAATTCTTATTGAAAGTATTTTTTTACTTTACCACTTTTTTTACTATCGGAAGCCATAAGATCGGTCTGGCATATCCCATATGTAAAGGGTCCTACGTTTCTTGCTGGTCTAGGTTTCTTGCTGATACCTCCCAGGACAGTGTATTTTCCGAACCAGTGGTAAAAGCAAAAAATAACTCAATAAGAATTACTTGTAATCTATATTGAATAAAAAATTATTCTATATTATTCTGCTGTAGCTATATTAATGGTATAGTTGTGGCACGACTATGTCGACCGGGGAAGGACCACGCTCTCACAGAATACCAGCGTAAAATAGCAGCTTGATGCTGCTGTGTTTCGTATGTTGAGTTTAGAGAACCGGAGACCCTTTTTACTGGAAACGAGGCACTTGATCTTAGTCCTCACGGGTGACAACGCATCTGCATTTTGATTCGTAATCGAGGATAGATGTAGATGTCTATGGACCACAGTAACCACTTACCATCAAGTAGACTGTGTGCTCGTTTGTCACCCTTGTGCTATATAAAAATGTATTTTATTACGGCACCCACACGGTATTCATTATTTATATCTATAATATGTTTACAGTACATCTCCATGCTGCGGGCAGAGGGAGCCCAGCGCTGGGTGTGGGACGAGCAGCGCGAGCTGATGGCCACAGAGTTCCGCTTCAAGGACGTCCAGGAGCCGCGAAGCTTTGCCGTGGGACACGTGCACTTGCTGCAGGTGATGTGGGTTCATTAGGTTTAGTTTTTAGGATGATGATGATTCATTCTTGGGTCTTTGTATACGCTATCACAACAAATTCCCAGAAAAATTTTTCTCCGTCTATAATAATGATTCATATTTACGCGAATGGTATATATTAGATAAAACTAATTTAACGAATTATATCACCTTTCATTTTAAATTTTTAACACAAGTCCACTGCTGACCATAGGCCTCCCCCAAGGAATGCCACAAAGCACGGTCCTGAGCCACCTGCATCCATCGACTTCCTGTATGTGTTATCAGGTCATCACCCCATCTAATGGAAGAATGTTTCTTAACCATCGGTTGACGGTTCTTCGAGCTATGTGGCTGGCCCAGAGTCAGTCCTTTGTTGGACAGAACTCTGTATTTAGTTTTAACTTGTTAATAATTCCTACGTAGGAGTTCCCGATGGAGGATGTGCTGAGCGCGTACTATCTGATGACAGAGTGGAGGCCAGAGCTCATCGAGGAACTGCTGGACCAGCTCACCCCAGACAATGTCAGGGTTGGGATTGTTGCCAAGTAAGTCCAAAAGTGGGAGAATGGATTTGTGTTGCTTTTTTTTTTAATAGAATAAGGGTAACGAACGAGCACACAGTGCACATGATGGTAGAAATTAACTATGATAACATGGCCCACCCTTCCAAAATTCAAAACGTTTAAAACTATTTGTGAAAGTAATGATTTCTTATATTTACGCGAACACTACTACACATTTAAATGAAACTAATTTTGCGGATTTTATCGCGTATATTAACTTATTTTACATTCCCGACGTTTCAAGCAATTTACAGTACCCATGGTCACGGGGGGGACTGAGGTGTTTGACGTCCCAATGTCATAGTTAACCACGGCTACCTCCAGATTAAAAATTATTAATTTTTGTTCCGATCTACGCAGTATGAACTTACAGTGTCATGAAGTCTTGTAGTTGTATGTGTTCACATAGCTGATGTGAAGAATAGACGCTCCGGGATGTCTGCAGTCTGTGAACACGTACAGGATCGCCCCCGTCACTACATTAGATTTGATAGACCACAAATCCTCGCTAAAAAACACCGATTCCTTCCAAGGATGATTCGCGAGGCTATTGAAATCAAGAAACATTCTAATTTCAATAGAGAAGATGGCTGGGTGCTACCATCTACTTGGGATCCCATAATTAATAAAATTAAATCGCAACCCAAGCATACAACTGCAAGACTTCATGATACTGTAAGTTCATACTGCGTAGATCGGAACAAAAATTAATAATTTTTAATCTGGAGGTAGCCGTGGTTAACTATGACATTGGGACGTCAAACACCCCAGTCCCCCCGTGACCATGGGTGCTGTAAAGTGCTCGAAACGTCGGGTATATAAAATAAGTTAATATACACGCGATAAAATCCGCAAAATTAGTTTTATTTAAATATTTGTGAAAGTGTTTACAAAGAGCCACCAAGACTCACAACGCATGCGTGCGTGCTGAGACGACCGTCAAACCTAAAAATAAATCCAAGGATTTGTTGCTCGACTTGCGGCGTCATTAATAGCTCATTATTATTGGTATAGCGCTGCACTCTACGGAAATGACACGTGAATTTGTTTTGTGCGGTCGGCTAAGTTATGATAGTTGACCAACAAATCCGGTGAAGACGAATACTTTCAAATACATACCAAATTCTTTTGTAAGAATGTGACTACAACACACATTGAAACAGTAATTTAGAGGGTCGAGCCATGTTATCCTAGTTAATCTCTAAGTGGATGCTGTGGTCCATAGACATCTACATTTATCGTCAATTAAAAATCAAAATACAGATGCGTTGTCACTCTGAAGACTTAAATGGAATGCATGGTTTCTAGTTAAAATGTTCTAAGGTAAAAAGGTAGCTGGAACTGTTCTTGTATCGGTTATGTTAGACGAAGTACATATATATCCCTTGCAAAGTTTTAATAGATGTTTTTACCAAATACCTACTAGACAGACAATGTAGAATTATAACTGTGTAATAAATATGCCACGCAGTCGTATTATAATTTGCGTCAGTTACTGTCTTTTGAGAAATACTAAATAAAGTTACAATTTTATTTGAAATAAAGGTGAAATCATGTTGACAAAGTGCGCACATTTTTTATTCTTTGAAAAAAAAAAACGTTACCCCCACACTAGGATTTTCTCCTGTGTCGTGGAGGCAGTTTACAAACATAAATTGCACAAGGACAAACATCCAGACCCGGAACAGTTATTTGTAGGCCATACAAATACTTGTTCCGTGCGGGATTCGAACCCGAGGCTCCAGCGCAACAACGCATTGCTATGCCACTGCGCCACGGAGCCGTCAAAAACATAAATATTGACTTCGTTTTTTTTTTAGTAACCTTAAACAAAAACAGTGTTAGATTGTCGAAAACGACATTCGCTGTTTACAATACAAAGAAGTAGTCTTCTCGCCCGCTCGCAGTCGACTAAAGGAGTTACGGAGAATTGACCGTAACTTAGTGCGCAATGTATTAAGGCTATTACATATAACCAAAGTATAAACAAAGATGTATTTTTTTAACTCGCAAAGGGGGGCGAGCAATAATTATAGTTGTATTGTGTATAGACGTTCTTGTCCACCTGGTGGTAAGTGGATGCTGTGGCCTATAGACATCTACATCTATCCTCGATTACAAATCAAAATGCAGATGCTTGTCAGCCGTGAGGACTAAAATGGAATGCGAGGCATTTCCAATAAAAAGGGTCTCAGGTTCTCTACACTCACCATACGAAACAGCAGCGTTAAGCTGCTATTTTACGCTGGTATTCGTTGAGAGCGTGGTCTTTCCCCGGTCGATCCGACGCATTCGTGCTGCAACCACAATATATCTGCATCGTGGCTCTACCGCGTAATTAATACAAATTCATCCCTCTACAGGCGTTTCGGTGACAAGTGCACGCAAACCGAGCCGTGGTATGGGACCAAATATCTGCAAGAGGACATCGAGGAGGCGACGATTGATGTGAGTCACATCATTTGTTCTGTAGCAATTAATTGGAATAAAATAATTTTTATCTTTATAATATACTAGCGGCACACCCTGGCTTTGCTCCGGTTGAACAATAATCTATTTTAAATGTATAAGAGATTTCCACCTATGTACTGACTGATCACGATACCCGCGAGGGTGGTTGCCGGGGCGTTAATTAAGAATAAATCACATTTTCTTATATATATATATATATATATATATATATATATATATATATATATATATATATATTAAACGGCTCTTCACGTTGGCCAATTTGTGGCGAATACGTTGGCCAAAGATATTAGCCAAGAATTTGTGATGGCGCCCACACGTTGGAAGGTCGTTCATTTTGCTTCGGTACAGGCCAATGTGCGGACGAATTTATTAAAATGGATATTGAGGCGCTAACACCTGCTGCGGTTTATTTATTCACAGCATACCGCTACTACGTGAATGTGTATAAGAAAAGGGTGATGAAACAGAAGTGTGAATGATGTTTTATTTCTTGTGTACCACAAACAATTTTCGGCTTGGTAGAGAGAGCTATATAAAGCGAAAAGTTTCTTCATTGGTCATTGTTACTGCTATTCTGTAGACACTAGTTACGAATATAAAATTTAAATCAGGTGCGTGCGATCACTCTGGGATCTTGTAGTAAACTAAACGTGCGCCCAACTTGTGGACGCGACGGCCATAACTGTGACACAACCCTTTGATCTTTTGTAAAAAAACCGACACCACACGGATCTCACAAACACCCGCTCCACACGATGGCCATCGGTATTGGTCACAACATTTGCCACAGTGTTGGGCAACGTGAAGAGCCGCCTTTAGATGGTAGGTGTGTTGAATGGGCAACAAAAATAAACTGGAGCGGGGCATTAGCATCTTATGTACTGTATTGTTGTGTCTGGTGTTATGTGGAGTTAGCCAGGCATGGTAGGGGCATGTGACAAGCGTTGCATTGGTTACAGACGTGGCGGAATGCGCGTGCAGGTGACACACTGCATCTGCCGGAACGCAACCAGTTCATCCCCACGCGCCTGCAGCTCGAACCCAGCACTGACCCCACGCTGGACGCAGTAGCACCAGCCATTATCAAGGTAGCTATATTTATGCACATTATTCACTTTAGATTACTATGCACATTATTCACATTACATAACTATGCACATTATACACATTACATTACTATGCACATTATTCACATTACATTACTATGCACATTATTCACATTACATTACTATGCACATTATTTACATTACTATGCACATTATTCACATTACATTACTATGCACATTATTCACATTACATTACTATGCACATTATTCACATTACATAACTATGCACATTATTCACATTACATTACTATGCACATTATTCACATTACATTACTATGCACATTATTCACATTACATTACTATGCACATTATTCACTTTAGATTACTATGCACATTATTCGCATTACATTACTATGCACATTATTCACATTACATTACTATGCACATTATTCACATTACATTACTATGCACATTATTCACATTACATTACTATGCACATTATTCACATTACATTACTATGCACATTATTCACTTTAGATTACTATGCACATTATTCACATTACATTACTATGCACATTATTCACTTTAGATTACTATGCACATTATTCACATTACATTACTATGCACATTATTCACATTACATTACTATGCACATTATTCACATTACATTACTATGCACATTATTCACTTTACATTACTATGCACATTATTCACATTACATTACTATGCACATTATTCACTTTAGATTACTATGCACATTATTCACTTTAGATTACTATGCACATTATTCACATTACATTACTATGCACATTATTCACATTACATTACTATGCACATTATTCACATTACTATGCACATTATTCACATTACATTACTATGCACATTATTCACTTTACATTACTATGCACATTATTCACTTTAGAATACTATGCACATTATTCACATTACATTACTATGCACATTATTCACATTACATTACTATGCACATTATTCACTTTACATTACTATGCACATTATTCACATTACATTACTATGCACATTATTCACTTTACATTACTATGCACATTATTCACATTACATTACTATGCACATTATTCACTTTAGATTACTATGCACATTATTCACTTTAGATTACTATGCACATTATTCACATTACATTACTATGCACATTATTCACATTACATTACTATGCACATTATTCACATTACTATGCACATTATTCACATTACATTACTATGCACATTATTCACTTTACATTACTATGCACATTATTCACTTTAGATTACTATGCACATTATTCACATTACATTACTATGCACATTATTCACATTACATTACTATGCACATTATTCACTTTACATTACTATGCACATTATTCACATTACATTACTATGCACATTATTCACTTTAGATTACTATGCACATTATTCACATTACATTACTATGCACATTATTCACATTACATTACTATGCACATTATTCACATTACATTACTATGCACATTATTCACTTTACATTACTATGCACATTATTCACATTACATTACTATGCACATTATTCACTTTAGATTACTATGCACATTATTCACTTTAGATTACTATGCACATTATTCACATTACATTACTATGCACATTATTCACATTACATTACTATGCACATTATTCACATTACTATGCACATTATTCACATTACATTACTATGCACATTATTCACTTTACATTACTATGCACATTATTCACTTTAGAATACTATGCACATTATTCACATTACATTACTATGCACATTATTCACATTACATTACTATGCACATTATTCACTTTACATTACTATGCACATTATTCACATTACATTACTATGCACATTATTCACTTTACATTACTATGCACATTATTCACATTACATTACTATGCACATTATTCACTTTAGATTACTATGCACATTATTCACTTTAGATTACTATGCACATTATTCACATTACATTACTATGCACATTATTCACATTACATTACTATGCACATTATTCACATTACTATGCACATTATTCACATTACATTACTATGCACATTATTCACTTTACATTACTATGCACATTATTCACTTTAGATTACTATGCACATTATTCACATTACATTACTATGCACATTATTCACATTACATTACTATGCACATTATTCACTTTACATTACTATGCACATTATTCACATTACATTACTATGCACATTATTCACTTTAGATTACTATGCACATTATTCACATTACATTACTATGCACATTATTCACATTACATTACTATGCACATTATTCACATTACTATGCACATTATTCACATTACATTACTATGCACATTATTCACTTTACATTACTATGCACATTATTCACTTTAGATTACTATGCACATTATTCACTTTAGATTACTATGCACATTATTCACATTACATTACTATGCACATTATTCACATTACATTACTATGCACATTATTCACATTACATTACTATGCACATTATTCACTTTACATTACTATGCACATTATTCACATTACATTACTATGCACATTATTCACTTTAGATTACTATGCACATTATTCACTTTAGATTACTATGCACATTATTCACATTACATTACTATGCACATTATTCACATTACATTACTATGCACATTATTCACTTTACATTACTATGCACATTATTCACATTACATTACTATGCACATTATTCACTTTAGATTACTATGCACATTATTCACATTACATTACTATGCACATTATTCACTTTACATTACTATGCACATTATTCACATTACATTACTATGCACATTATTCACATTACATTACTATGCACATTATTCACTTTAGATTACTATGCACATTATTCACTTTAGATTACTATGCACATTATTCACATTACATTACTATGCACATTATTCACATTACATTACTATGCACATTATTCACTTTACATTACTATGCACATTATTCACATTACATTACTATGCACATTATTCACTTTAGATTACTATGCACATTATTCACATTACATTACTATGCACATTATTCACTTTACATTACTATGCACATTATTCACATTACATTACTATGCACATTATTCACATTACATTACTATGCACATTATTCACTTTACATTACTATGCACATTATTCACATTACATTACTATGCACATTATTCACTTTAGATTACTATGCACATTATTCACTTTAGATTACCATGCACATTATTCACATTACATTACTATGCACATTATTCACATTACATTACTATGCACATTATTCACATTACATTACTATGCACATTGTTTACATTACTATGCACATTATTCACTTTAGATTACTATGCACATTATTCACTTTAGATTACTATGCACATTATTCACTTTAGATTACTATGCACATTATTCACATTACATTACTATGCACATTATTCACATTACATTACTATGCACATTATTCACATTACTATGCACATTATTCACATTACATTACTATGCACATTATTCACTTTACATTACTATGCACATTATTCACTTTAGATTACTATGCACATTATTCACATTACATTACTATGCACATTATTCACATTACATTACTATGCACATTATTCACATTACATTACTATGCACATTATTCACATTACATTACTATGCACATTATTCACTTTACATTACTATGCACATTATTCACATTACATTACTATGCACATTATTCACTTTAGATTACTATGCACATTATTCACTTTAGATTACTATGCACATTATTCACATTACATTACTATGCACATTATTCACATTACATTACTATGCACATTATTCACTTTACATTACTATGCACATTATTCACATTACATTACTATGCACATTATTCACTTTAGATTACTATGCACATTATTCACATTACATTACTATGCACATTATTCACTTTACATTACTATGCACATTATTCACATTACATTACTATGCACATTATTCACATTACATTACTATGCACATTATTCACTTTAGATTACTATGCACATTATTCACTTTAGATTACTATGCACATTATTCACATTACATTACTATGCACATTATTCACATTACATTACTATGCACATTATTCACTTTACATTACTATGCACATTATTCACATTACATTACTATGCACATTATTCACTTTAGATTACTATGCACATTATTCACATTACATTACTATGCACATTATTCACTTTACATTACTATGCACATTATTCACATTACATTACTATGCACATTATTCACATTACATTACTATGCACATTATTCACTTTACATTACTATGCACATTATTCACATTACATTACTATGCACATTATTCACTTTAGATTACTATGCACATTATTCACTTTAGATTACCATGCACATTATTCACATTACATTACTATGCACATTATTCACATTACATTACTATGCACATTATTCACATTACATTACTATGCACATTGTTTACATTACTATGCACATTATTCACTTTAGATTACTATGCACATTATTCACTTTAGATTACTATGCACATTATTCACTTTAGATTACTATGCACATTATTCACATTACATTACTATGCACATTATTCACATTACATTACTATGCACATTATTCACATTACTATGCACATTATTCACATTACATTACTATGCACATTATTCACTTTACATTACTATGCACATTATTCACTTTAGATTACTATGCACATTATTCACATTACATTACTATGCACATTATTCACATTACATTACTATGCACATTGTTTACATTACTATGCACATTATTCACTTTAGATTACTATGCACATTATTCACTTTAGATTACTATGCACATTATTCACTTTAGATTACTATGCACATTATTCACATTACATTACTATGCACATTATTCACATTACATTACTATGCACATTATTCACATTACATTACTATGCACATTATTCACATTACTATGCACATTATTCACATTACATTACTATGCACATTATTCACTTTACATTACTATGCACATTATTCACTTTAGATTACTATGC